AAATTGCTATAATATTTTTCAATATTATTTAACACAATAATAACTTAGCTGGAATAAATAATTCAAGATTAAGAACATACGTGAATAAAAATTATGAAAAAGAAATTTTTTCACTCTAGTGAAAGGTCAATTTTTATTTACAAAAAAAAATGTTATTAGCAAAAAAATACTTAATAATTACTTTATATTTTTGAAGTGATTGCTTCATTATTAAGAAAATAAACTTTTTTTTATTATTATGCGCGTCATTTCCATAATATTATAGGAACCATTCCTATAATATTATAGGAATCATTCCTATAATATTATAGGAGCCATTCCCATAATATTATAGGAACCATTCCCATAATATATTGAAGCTATTCCATTATTGTATAGGAACGTTTCTAATAAATTATGGGTATGGTTCCCATAATGAGTATAGGATTAATGCCTATAATGATAATTTTATTATAGGATCCATTTCCATAATTGTTGGAAAGATTCCTATAAATTTCTCTCCGTGTACAAATTAAAATAATTTTTCTCTGAAACTATTGGTTTGATGTTTTTGGGATCAACATGTAAAATGTAGAGCTTAGAATAAGTCGTGATCTTGTTTTTTTGAATTTTCTGTCTGATCAATAGTTGATGCTATCAAAAATATTATTTCGTACTAAATTTTATAAAAAAAGTAGCCTAATGAGGCAAAAAATGATTGAATCGATTCAAAATTTTAATTATTTATTTTTTAAAAGAAAACAATAATTTTGAGAAAAAATTTGAATTTTTAAAGCCCAAAATTTCGAATAACTAATATCGAAATGGCGTAACAGTAATTGTACGTCTTTGTGACTCTGCAAAGCCAAAAAGGTGTATAAAAACAATTTTTTTTTCATTGACTTTAGGAATGTTAGGAATGAAAAAATGGATTTTTATTTTTCTAACTTTCCGCTTACAAAATTGAAAGTTCTTAACTTTAGATCACTAAAATTGATCATTTTGTAAAATAAACTTGAAACTTCGAATTTTCGGAAATTTTTAATTTTCATACTCATAGATTCAAAAATTTCTGGAGCAAGAAATGAGAAAATTAAAATCAAATTTTTTCAGTAAATTTTCACATTCCCACTATTCTTGAGTTGATTGAAACAATAGAAAAACATTTTTAAAAGCCTTTTCGATTCTGCAGAGCCAAAAAGTGGCATTAGTAACACGATATGTTTTGATTTTCAAGATCAATATATCTACACCTAATTATCCTTTAAAAATTCATTTTAGTCTTAAAAACCTTGAAAAAGCCTCCAATAAATTATATATTTCAAAATGTAGGAAGTTATGGATAGGATTAATAATAAATAAAGTATTCAAGACAATATTATTATCCACATAGAGTGATTCAAATACAATTTTTATTTTAATAATCGTATCGAGAGACAGAGTTTAGTCGCAAACTAACTATAATGTTAAAACTATTTTATTGTGAGGTCTAACCCTCTGTATTGTCCTTAGTAAAACACATGTTTTTCTTCTTAACTAAGACCGTAATATTTGGTTGTATTTTACAGTGTAAAATAGAGAGTCCTTTGCACAACTCAAGTACCTAAGGTCATAAAATTAAGCCTCTCGATTTATTATATGGTCTGATGCTTCGGAGTCTAACAAAAATATAATTTTATCATTAACAGATTCGATTGATTTACATTCACCAGCCATGAATGATATCCTGGTTTCAGAATCTGGATCAATCGCTTGAACACATTGAGTAGTTTTATTCTTCTTCTGATCATTGTACTTTTTACACCGCTTATAATGAATGCAGTTTTTCATTAAATGTCCTTCACGACCACAGTGATAACACTTAACTTTAGCTTTGCCTTTAAATGGCTTACGCCCCTTTTTAAATTTTGATTCATCATTTTTATGAAAAGAATGTTTAATTTCATTATGTTTATCATTGTTATCTGCCACTAACACTTTTACACTGGTATCACTGCTTCGTCTTTTTAATTTAATTTCATGGTTTAATAACCGTGACTTCACGAAGTCCAAACTTATATTACCTTCCGATAAAAATTCAATTTCAGTGACAACACCGTCATATGAAGGTGGAAATGTATCTATTAAATGGATCACTTTGTCTGCTTCATCTATTTTTGTTCCGGATGCTAAGAGATCATTGATGTATGTGTCAAAAATGGAAAAATGTTCCATTAGAGACATCTCAGCTGCTAATTTTAAATTGAAAAGTTTTCTCTTTAAAATCATCTGAGTTGGAAGACATTTGCGGTCATAAACAGAATCGAGTTTGTCGAAAATGTTTCTAGCATACGTTACATCGGTAAAATGTAATAATGAGTCCGCCAGAAGTGAGCCGATAATGCTGTGCGCGACGTCGTTCTTTTTGATCCATTTTTCTGTCGGAACTTCAGGAATTTCCTCATCAATTATGGACAGTATATGATGTTCCTTTAGAAGAAGCCGCACTCTCTTTTTCCATATATTAT